CCCAATATTTCTTATATTGAACATAGCAGGTGCCTTCACATCATACCAATCTTTCTTAGAAAATGGATCAACCCTAAATTTTGAAAAAATGATTAAGTTTCATTGCAGATCACATAATTCTGTGATATGTATCTTTTTTTTACTTTCCTCATTCTAATGCTGTTGTCACTATCATTTCTCATCAAGATTTTAAAAAGCTTACTGGCCACCTGAGACTGGAGTAAACTATTTGTCTTCCAGTGATGCTGGGGGCGCACATGTAAATTCAGCTCTTCCCACTGTATGTTTCACTGTACAGACCACACACTTTGAAAGTAAGTTTTGCTCATTCCCCAACCTCATCGGTCCCTTCACAACACAAATAACATTTCCTCTAAGTGACATGCAACCTCCGGAACTTTACCGGTACGTCAAAGTACGTACTGGTAACCAAGACCCACCAGGACCGCAGGGAAGCCTAGCAGGAGCTCCCAGGTTCCACCCGGCCCAAGCGGAGGCAGAGCGCGGGGTGCTGATTAAGCAAGGACAGTGCTTTCCTGAACTGCTCCTGAAGCTGCAACAAAAGCCCGCGGAATTTAGGCGGCCCGTGACCCACAAATATGGAACGCTCCAGCGCCGAGTCGCGGCGGCAACCGGGCTCAAACGCGACACGCGCAAGAACCAGAAGGCAAGGGGAGAGGCAGCCGGGACGCAGCACCCAGACCGGCCAGGCCACGTTACTGGAAGCACCAACCCGCCAGGGCCAACGCAATCCGACCGGCATCCTCGCCATCCGGCCCATGCCGCGATCTAGAACAGGCCCGCAGATCCCAGTAGGATCCCAAAAAGCAGGAGTACACGACAGTCGCTACTTACACTTTCTTCTTGGCTCCCTTTTTGCCGCCTTTCGTAAGGCGCTTGTTTTTGCCAACCGCCATGGTGCTGCTCAGAGAGCCAAAAGGGCGGAAGTATAACTCCCGCGAGAACTTACAAGTACGGGGCGGGACGCGCCGTCTACGTGACCTTTACTCTTTTGCTCTTCCGGCCTCAAGAATATCGCGACAACGGAGAGCGCCACTCCTCATTCTGTAGATGAGATAGCGCCCTCGTGTGTGGGGAGGCCGCGCAGCATGTCGCGGGCTCACTGGGAGGCTGAGCTCTGAGGTGTAGGCGTCTGGTTACCTGTGACTTCTGCGGCTCTGGCTTGGAGAAGTAAGTTTCTGCAGAACACTCTTCACTCAGCGTCGTTCAAAGCTGAACTCTTTGTCTAACCCTCAGACCTATTCTCGAGAGCAATGGGCTTTGCAATTCGACAGCCGACCCAGGTTCAAATGCTTGTTTCAACAATACTTGTGACCTTGTGACCTGTCTACCATTCAGTTTCCTCATGTGTAAAATGGGCATAGTAATACGGTTGTTAGTAGGATTAAATAACTCCAGGGATGCTAGTAATATTCTGTTTGTTGATACGGGTGCTGGTTATGAATCTCAGGTATGGTTGCTTTGTGAACACTCATCAAGCTGTGTGCTTATTTGTGTACTTTTCTATATGTCTGTCATACATTGATAAAAGTTTTGTTTTTTTTTAAGTGGAGTGAAATCTCTAAATTTTTCCATTATTGTACCTCATCCCCCCAAAATATTTTTTTTTTAACTGTAGAGGTATAACGAAACACATCCTGGCAAGATGTGACCCACTAGCTCAAGTGTCCTGCTCAAGTATGCAGATGGGAAGCATCTGGCGGTACAGGCTTGGTATTCAGCCAATAGTGTGTTGAGTTCCCTTCTCTAACTTCTCCTCGGACAAAAAACCCTGTGACCAAGCCAGAAACCAGCCCTCACTCATTAGGCCTCCAGCAAGCTTTTAAATGTTAGAATCCCTCCCAGTCTTCCTAGCCTCCATCTTCTACCTCCTACCACTCCTACTCTCTAAGACAATCTTCCTAAATCTGTAGTAGGGTCCTGAAATCTTTCAATAATTCTATAAACCTCAGTTGCCTGGAGGATAAAGTCAAAGTCCTTTTTTCATGACAGTATGAATATACTTAACACTGGTGAACTATACACTTAAGAATGGTGAAGATGGCCCGGTTGGTGGCTACTCAGAAGGCCAAGGTAGGAGGGTCTGTTGAGCCCAGGAGTTGAGTCCAGGCTGGGCCACATAGCAAGACCCAGTTTCTTCTAAAAAGAAAGGTCAAGATTGAGTTGGGCATGGTAGCTCACGCCTCTAATCCTAGCACTTTGGGAGGCTGAGGCGGGAAGATTGCTTGAGGTCAGGAGTTCAAGACCAGCCAGAGCAAGAGTAAGACCCGGTCTCTCTAAAAAATAGAAAAATTAGCCAGGCGTAGTGGTGCATGCCTATAGTCCCAACCACTCAGCAGGCTGAGGCAGGAGGATCACTTGAGCCCTGGAGTTTGAGGTTACAGTGAGCTATGATCATGCCACTGCACTCCAGCCTGGGCAACAGAGTGAGAGCCTGTCTCAAAAAAAAAAAAAAAAATGGGTAAGAGTGTACATTTTAGGTTATGTGTTTCTCACTACAATTAAAAAAAAAGGTCAAAGTTCTTAATTAAGGATACAAAACCTCTCTTTTCAGGCCCCAACCACTTAACTCCTTTTCAGCCTCATCACATCTTGACCTCTAGCAGTATCCATCCCTACACCAGCCACCTAGAACTACTAAAATTCCCTAGACTACACAGGCTTCTTTTGCCTCCTTTTCCCCCACATAAGCAGGCAAATACCTGTGCATTTCCAAGACAGCTCGGCTTCATTGCTTCTTTCAGTGAGAGACTGATTCCCCAGACAAACAGGCTTTCCCTCAGACCTGCTCCCAGAAGACCTAGCACAACTTAACTTCTTGGTAACTATGACTAAACATGTCCCTTCCTCACTGTGACTGCACACAGTGCAGTCTTTTTCTTATTTATGCCCATCTCTTAGCTCTTAGCACTTTCTAGCCTCTCAAATTATTTGTTGAATGAACAAATAAGAGGTAAGACATCAGTCATATTTTGGACTTTGTGGATCTGTCCAGATTTTCAAAATAATTTTGAACCAAGACTGGAATTCGTAAATTTTAAATTATTTTTCTCATCTCATCGCAGACTGGTGAAAACTAAGAACCAGCAGATATCAGTTAGTCCTTCCAAATATAATATTGAGTCTAATAAATTCTCTGTAATAATTCTATAGGAATAGTAACCTTGACTAAACCTACTTCATAGGTAGCAGTTCATTAGTTTAAAACTTTCCCAGTGGAAAATGTTATAGACTCCTAGCTGCCTACTCCAGAATAAAAACTGAACTTATCTTCTTCCTGATCTGATTCTTCTTTCTGCCCAAGAGTGAAAGCCACAAGGGAGGCATTAATGAAGTCAGCTGCATCGAATTTATTCTAGTAACATTAGCACCTGAGGGATTTGTCAGAGGTCTGTATTTCAATCCTCAACTTTGTTTTGTAGTAAAAGCCTTTTTAAAAAAAAAAATTTATATTTTCCTGACATATTTAATGGTGCAATCATCAGTTTTAATTTAATTATATTGAATAAAAGATGGAGGTGTAAAATCAGTTTGTTGGGTCTCAAACATCATTTTAAAATTTCAGATATAATAAAATGGAACAGGCTGGTCTGATGGTAGAGGGTTATCAGAATTTATTAACATCAGTGTCACTAAAGTTGGTATGCAACCCCCGACTGCTAAATTTGACTGGCTTTTAAAAAAAAGAATAAAATGGAACAAAGAATGTCGAAATACATCAAATCTAATAAGGTGTCAATATTGTTTCATTAATTTTTTCATCTGTGACTATTAAATACATATGATGATTTTTAAACTTCGATTATTGTTTTTTATTTCTAGAGGCTCCATTTGGTTCTTTTTTTTTTTTTTTTTTTTTGAGACAGTGCCTCGCTCTCTTGCCCAGGTTAGAGTGCCATGGCGTTAGCCTAGCTCACAGCAACCTCAGTCTCCTGGGCTCAAGCAATCCTCCTACCTCAACCTTCCAGGTAGGTGGGACTACAGGTGTGTGCCACCTAATTTTTGACCAGCTAATTTTTCTATTTTTTGTAGAGACAGGGTCTTGCTGTTGCTCAGGCTGATCTCCAACTCCTGGCCTCAACTGATCCTCCCACCTTGGCCTCTCAAAATGCTAGGATTACAAGCACTGTGCCCGGCCGAACAGGTAATTTCTTACTACAAACATAGCATTTTAAATACAGTTTTGGTTTAGGAACTTGAGGTATAGCAGGTAATTTATTTAGTTGATAGTTACAAATTTCTCCCATAGATGCAGAAATTTGAGGAAGTCTTGCTTTGTTATCTTAGTTTTTAGAATTCTGCATTCTATTCATCCTAATAAAAAAAAATGCAAATTTTAGGTGTCTTTTTACTGATGACTTTTCCTAAAATGCTTAAATGATAATATTACTAAATCTTAACTACATTCTGGTGAAACTAGTGTACTCATTCATAGCTGTTGGAATTTTACAATGATAAGTTATTTAAAAGTAATTTTTCTCACTTGACATTCTGCTGTGCTAAAAAAAAAAAAAGAAAAGTAATTTTTCAATATTATTTGAAAGCCATCAAAATCTTCAGATGTCATCTGGAAATATATCATAAGGAAATAATCCAAAATTGGAAAAAACCTATATGCATAAAGATAATATTCAGAGTCCTAACCATCAAATTAGAAGATTAGAAATAACCAAAATAAATTTAAAATATAGAAATGGTTAAGTAAATTATGGTATATCTACTTGATAGATTATTATGCAGCCAGTATAAGTTATGGGTATAGACATAATTTAGATATATAGAAAATGTTTATGATAAAGTGGTCAACTCAAAATACGGAAATTTATGTATATCTTATAACTATGTAAAAGGCAAATACACTGGAGAAAAAAGACATTGAATACAAGAAACGTTACCGATTTAAACTCTCCCAAGTTATTTGGTGAGCCCATCCGTTCCGGGCTCAGAAGAAATCCACGTAATTATATGAGGGTGGTATTATTCTTTTCTGCTGTTCTTGTCAAGTTTCCTATGATATTAAGTATTAAATGTATAATTTTAAAAATAAATAATTAATTTTAAAATGTAATTTTAGGCCAGGCGTGGTGGCTCATGCCTGTAATCCTAGAACTTTGGTAGGTTGAGGCGGGAAGATTGCTTGAGGCTAGGAGATCAAGACCAGCCTGAGGCAGAGCAAGACCCTGTCTCCATAAAAAATAGAAAATCAGCCAGGTGTGGTGGCGCCCAACTATAGTCCCAGCTATTCAGGAGGCTGAAGCAGGAGGATCGCTTGAGCCCAGGAGTTCGAGGTTGCAGTGAGCTATGATGAGGCCACTGCACTCTAGCCCAGGTGGCAGAGCAAGACCCTGTCTCAAAAAAAAAAAAAAAATGTAATTTTAAATAAATGTAATAAATCACCATTACAAAATAACTTCTGTAGTGGTGATGATTGTACAATCATTGTGAATATATGTCTGTCCTTTTGCTTGTCAGCTCCCTTTCCCATGCCTCCCAATGTCTGACTGTTCTAATCCCCAGTTCCCTACTCAGTCCTATCCCCTGTTGTTTTTAGAAAATGACCTGTTGTCTCCTTCAGATAGTATGGGGTCTTATGGGCTACAGTAAGGGCTTTGGGTGTTTTTCTGTGTGGAATAGGAAGCCATTGGAGGGTTTGGAACAGTGAAATGATAGTCTTGGGGTCGTGTAAAGAATACTATGTAGCGGGGCAAGAATAGACTCAAGAAGTTAGAAGAGAGGATGGTAGCTTGGTCTAGGGACGTAGAAGAGGAAGTGCAGAGGAAAGAGAGCAGTGGAACCTGCACAGGAGTCACTGAAACTGTGATTCGAATGGTGTCCTCTGGAGCTGTGAGATGTAGTTGCCCTGGGTAGAGGGATGCAGTGAAAACTCTGGTTATGTTTTGAAGATAGGAACCA